TCCAGACACCCTGACACTTTCCCGCAAGGTGTCATTATGAAGTCTTCAGTGTATACTGCTGTTACGTCAGCTTAGTATTTGGGCCAGCATATAACAGCAATATGGGATGTGGTAGCGCTGTGGGCTAAACCGCAGAAGCCTGTGCTGCAGTGTCAGAAGACCAGCAGTCGTAAGATCGAATCCACGCAATGGAGTGAGATCCCGTCGCTTTGTCCCAGCTCCTTGCCAACCTAGCAGTTCGAAAGCATGCAAATGTGAGTAGATAAATAGGTACCATCTCAGTGGGAAGGTAAAACGGCGTTCCCTAGTCACGCTGGCCACGTGACAACAGAAACTGTCTTCGGACAAGCGTTGGCTCTATGGCTTGAAAAGTGGTATGAGTGCCACCCCCTAGAGTCAGACACGACTGGACTAAAAAATGTCAAGGGGAACCTTTACCTTTACCTTTATAACAGCAATGTGTCATTAAATCAGTTCTGATATCTAGTGACCTTTTCCAGGACTTTCTAGATATATCACACTCTTAACCGATTTACCGTTCTCTTCTTCTTGGGTATGCTGGGACAGTACAACTTGCTCAAGGCAACACAGGCTGGCTCTTTTCCTGGGAGGCACAATAGGGAATCAAACTCATGAACTCTAGCTCTGCCAGAACTATCTAGCCACTTGTAAACTAAATGGTAAGGTTATTTAAATATTACTTTTAAATACTGTGGCATACATCCCATGCTATGTGTTGGTAATGCTCAGCTTATCAAGAAGGTGCATGTGCTGGAAAATATTCTGATTCATAGAATCCCTTTAGGGTTTGCGTTCTGCCTTCTCATTTATGTTGCTGCTGACTATTAACAGAGAATGACAGAGATTGCACCTTAGTGGCACATGGCAGGGATACTGAATAGACATTCAGTATTCTCCTATGTATAGGAAAATCCATAGTGACAAACAGCTATTCTTCTGATGGTTCTTTCATATAGAAGGCCCCTAAGAATCCAGAGGTCTCTAGAAGGTACTTTGGAAGCAACATACCAAATAATACTTGACAATATTTGATAGTATAAGTGCCACCAAGGGGCATGGTGCCGCTGCGGGTTAAACCGCAGAAGCCTCTATGCTGCAAGGTCAGAAGACCAGCAGTTGTTAAGATCGAATCCACGTGATGGAGTGAGCTCCCGTTGCTTGTCCCAACTCCTGCCAACCTAGCAGTTTGAAAGCATGCAAATGCGAGTAGATAAATAGGTACCACCACGGTGGGAAGGTAATGGTGTTCCATGTCTAGTTGCGCTGGCCATGTGACAATGGAAACTGTCTATGGACAAACACTGGCTCTACGGCTTGGAAACGGGGATGAGCACCGGCCCCTAGAATCAGACACACTGAACTAAATGTCAAGGGGTACCTTTACCTTTACCTATAAGTGCCACAGTATTTGAAAGTTCTCCAGTACGTTTATTTAAGAGCAGCCATCTGAAATCAATCTAAGGAAGCTCTGAAACCAAACGGTATGAAATCCCTATTCCACTGTAATAATCTATAGAAACCATTCTCAACCTCTTTTTGGCCACAGCCATAAACATACTGCAAAAGACATGTAGGATGAATCAGGATTGTGTAAGGTCATGTGTGAACACAAAATTTTGGCAGAATCTCTTGCAGGGGTGACTGTCCTTTTCATAGATGCAGAAGTGGGCACTGATGGATAACACACCCAATTGCAGCATTATTTAGATCCATTTCAGCCTGGCTTCAGATCTGGTTACAGAACAGAGACATGTCTGGGTGCCTTAGTAGATTACCAAGATCAAGAACCAGACAGGGCACTTTTGTCCCTATTGTTTCTGCTGGACCTCTCAGCAGCTTTTGATACCATCAACCATGGTAGCCTCCTAGGGAACTTTTCTGGGATGAGTTTAGCTCCTCTTGAGTTCTTGGCATGGCCACAAAGGGAAGCGCTTAAGCTCATTCTCAGCCTTGCTCACCAGCTGGTTTCTGGTTTCTCTCGACTCACTCCACTTCTGGGTCCTGGATCATGACTTCTTGGCTGAGGAAAATTGGATTCTCAACCAAAGACAGAGTCCTGGCAACAATCCAACATATACTTACCTTGCTGTATTGGACATTACCTGTATGGGACTGGGAAACCTCAAAAAGGTTGCAGTCCCTGGAAAGCCCAGGAGTAAATGAGCCAGGAGCAGGGACTGTGGGCCTTTTTATAATGGATCACACCATGACCCAAGTGGATGTTGACTTGTGAGGCTAGGAAGGGAAGGTGACATAACTGGCTTGCCTTCATTATGACAGAACAAAGGGGCTGAGCCATTTATATAGCTAAAAGGAGAGGGGGGGGCAAGCAGGTTGGGATGTGTTTAATCAAAAGTTAATTTAACTTGAATTACATCCTTTCAAGCCACACCCAGTTTTTATTCCTTCCTTTTTCAACTAGAGAGGGAGATTGAAAGAGACATAAAGGGAGAGTGGTGCTTCTTTAAGTTGAATTCAGTTTTATATTTCCAAAGAGATTTTATAAATTAAAAAACTGCTTCCCAACCTTGGGTCCCCAGATGTTCTTGGACAACAGCTTCGAGAAATCCTGGCCAGCACAGCTAGTGGTGAAGGTTTCTTGGGAGCTGTAGTCCAGGCACATCTGTGGACCCACGGTTAGGAACCATTGATTTAAGGTGCTCAGATGGAAATTTCCCCTTTGAGGTGACAGATGACTAGTATTCGATGATTCTGTGATTAGTGAAGAACAAATAAAAGATTGCTGGATAGCTCAGTAGCTGAGGTCTCTAGCTGCTGAGCAAGAAGTTGGAGATAGCTCAGTAGCTGAGGTCTCTAGCTGCGGAACAAGAGGTTGGGTGTTCGATTCCCCACTGTGCCTCCTTGACAGGGGCTGGACTTGATGATCCATAAGATCCCTTCCAGCTCTGCACCTCTAAGATGATGATGATTATATTTCTGGTTTGAATATAATTATTTTGCAAGCTCCCAAATAATTCAGGGTTAGACATTTTGTCCTTCCATATGCTTTAGAATTCTGTTCCCAGAAGCCCGAGCCAGCATGGCCAAGGATAATAGAAGTTGTCTTCCAAAACATTCTTGTCCAAAACACTCTCAAGCCACACTAACAAAGCTCTGTATTGCTTGGATCCAGATGGTTTGACTGATCACATCACTCCATATGACATTCTTGGCTCATAGGATCTTGTGATGAGGCCCTTCTTTTGAGGTTTGACTGATCACATCACTCCATATGACCTTCTTGGCTCATAGGATCTCGTGATGAGGCCCTTCTCTTGGTTCTACCACCTTCCCAATCTCATGTTGCGACAGTGCAAGAGATATTTTGAATAAATATTAAAAAACAATTATCCTCCCAACATAGCAATCCTGTGTAGTCCACTGCACTGATACATTGCACAGTTTAAAATTGTATTACAAGTCGACTGATTAGGATACACACACTGACACAAAGACCATGTGATTACCAGATATTTTAAACTGATTTCAAATACTCTGATCCAGCTTTCAATTCATATAAATTATGTAACTGTGCCCAAAGACAGTGGTTTTATCCCTGGGTGGGGAAACACTGTGCCCCATTCTTCTTCTACCAGCACCACTGAACTTTTTCAAAAGGGCGACATGCGCAGAGTGTCCATTAATTTAGTACAGTCATATTTTATACACACTTGATTGTCAAATGATAATGAAATAATACCTAATTTTACAGATCTTTAATTTGAAAATATTCTGTACAGGCAATACTTTCAATAACAGGAAAATCCACTCGTCCAATTGTCTGTGAAGAGTGAAAAACACTGTTTGACAAGCCACAGCTCCCTCCCTCCCTCCTTGTGTCCTTACCCTCAGTCCGCCTCTCACTCTGATCCTGCAGTCCTCCCCTCCCACTTCCCATTGCAAAAGGAAAAATAGCCCTCTTCTTGCGAGAAGAGTTTGAGCAGCACATAGTTATACAGTGATGCCTCGCATTAAGATCGCTTTGTTTAACGACAAAATCGCATTACGATGAACTTTTTACGATCGCTTTTGTGATCGCATAATGATGTTTCCTATGGCGGAATTTCGCTTTGCGATGATCAGTTCCCTGCTTCGGGAACCGATTCTTCGCAAAACAACAATTTTCCAATCTGCCATACCCTACATAACTAATTATGAGTTTTCATAGGAGCTGTAGTTCACAATATGTTGCAGTCCACAGGTTTCCACTCCCTGATCTAGGGGAGGATTCACTATTCTAAATATTTATTTATTACTTATTTATATAAAATATGTATACCCTGCATTTCTCCTCTGTGGATACAGAACAGAGTGTTAACATTTCTGTTCTGCGTTGTATTATTTATTTATTTGGTCTTCAACCATAATAAAGTAATAAAATAAAGTTTCAGAACAAAGTGTTAATATGTACTGCTGGATAGCTCAGTGGTTTAGGTATCTGGCCAGAGGCTGAGAATTTGATTCCCCATTGGCCGGGTGCTTTTGCTTTCAGTTTTATTTTTGCTGGAGACATTCAAAAGAAAGGCATTCAAAATACAAGCTTTATGACCCCATAGGCACGCAGGTAATAACCCAAATATGAAGGTATATTTATTTTGGGTTTGTACACATTGTTATGTAGAAACTACCTAGTTTAAATTTAAGTTTAAACATAAATTGCAAGGCTATAGGCCAGTCATGCTGACTGGTGAAATTTTTGACTGACTGGTGAGACATTCTAAAATTTTTCAAGCCCTGTTCATTAAATACACCTTATGCATTCAGAACATTCGATTTGTGAGTCTTGTTGTCAAAGGTTAATTCCACATGTTACTGCTTAGGACAGATCTTTTCTAAATGGTTACTTCCACTGATTTATTAATAATGCAGTACTACTTCATCTATTCAGAAATAGGGTCTATTAAATTCAATAGTTGCCTTTCCCAGATAAGTGTATGCAGAAATCAGTGTTCCCTCTAAGCTGTGTGCACACGGACTTGCCCAGAGCTTCATCAGCAGGCAGATGATTTTACTTCCTATTTTGAATGAAACCTTGCCCCCCCCCACACACACACATAGAGTGAGGCTCCCACACAGTGGGACAGAAAATGAGAGGGAATGTGGGTGGGAATGCAACCTGCACATGTTAAACTTCCCCTTTGTTGTCCACAGGACACTCAGTGATTGTGAAGAATAACCACATTGTCTCCATACAAAGCGTTGTTAAATCCACCAGTTGTTTGCTGTTGCTTGCTTCTTCTTTTGTAGAACATATAGGTTGCAACACTTGCTCCAACAAGGACGAGGGTAACCAGGATAACCACCACCACAATTGTGCCATGTGCTGATGCTGGAATGTTTCCATGGTCTATAAATAGAAAAAGTGTATATATAAGACATTAACTGTCCCATTCTATGTCAAAGGTGAGAGTACTTTGTATTTCTGGAATATACAATATTTTTATTGGCTCCATAAAGGAAGCCACACCTTTGAGTTTGGAAAAGCTGAGCAGGGCTGTTGGTAACATGACATCTGTAGATCGCTCATGCAGGGAGATAAAGTGGATAAGAAACCCAACTGGAAAAGAAAATGGCATACAAGCCCCAGGAGATGATAGGGTGATCAAGGACTCATAAAAGGTTGTACATAAGGCATCAAAAGTTATATGATGAGTGACAGCAGGAGGTGAGGTGTATGAGTGTGAGAATAAGTGACATGGTTTATGTTAAGATATGGACTATCCCTCTTGCTTACTGTTTCTCAGATTCCAGGAAACCCCATCTCCCAGTGGCCTGTAATTATTTTATTACTTAGTTAGCCAGATTCTGGGTCCATTTCCCTCACGTCCATTTCTACAATTAGTCAGCCTAAAGCAATTCTGGATTCCTTCCTTCCTCACCACCTCCTAGAGCAGTGCTTCCCAACACTGGGTCTCCAAATGTTCTTGGACTGAAACTCCCAGAAATCCTGGCCAGCACAGCTGGTGGTGAAGGCTCCTGGGAGATTTAGTCCCAGAACATCTGGGGACCTATGACTGGGAACCATTGCTCTAGAGAGATTTTGAGCTGGTTCCCAGATTAGTTTTTTTTCTGTTTGGGGAACCGTAGTTTTTCAGAAGTGCCAACAAGTCCAAAAAGTTGGGGGACCCTTGATTTGGAATTTCAGTGGAAAGTGGTCTGAGCATCATTAACAAAAATATTTAATCAATTACTTAGGTCTTATCCAGTTATGCTTGTTTCTGAGGATGAACTAGATTTTGAGGAGCATGTATACCAATTCTAATTAAACCATTCCCCCTTTAGCAATAAGATTTCCAAAGAAATGCATGCCTCAGTAATTTAGCTGAAACCAGAGGCCGGACCCTGACATGAGACAGAAGTGGGGCAGGCAAATGGTGGAATTTACAAATAAAGTCTGTATTTCAATGGCCTTTTTTTAAAAAAAGGAAGTGAAATGTAACATAAGGAGGCGAGGAGATTCTTGTCCTGTGAGAGACAGAGATCTTTCACCACTTGGGGAAGCATCTCTATAAGCACTGTAGATGTATCATCTAGTTTGACCCTGTGTAGGCAAGCATAAGATTGAATGTTGGAATGACCTGTGAATTGATTTTGAGTAGATATGCAATGGGTGTGTGTGAGAATGCTCACTGGAACTGTAAAGGGGTATTGTTTTCTTGTTATACAAAGACCTATAGTTGCAATGGACTTGGAATTTGGTGTGTCTGCTGTGTAGCCAATTGCCCTCCTGCTTGTGGTTGCCTATGCCACTGAAATGTTCCTGTGTTCCTTTATGGATAAACTCCCAATCTTTTGCTTTGAACTTATTGTTTTGAACTTTGATGTACACGTGCTTATAATTTGAACTGAGTTTTTTAATATTTTAAAGAAATAGTCTTACTTTTATCTGTTCTAGGCTCTTCAGTCGGCTTGTCGATAACTATAAAATTAAAACAAAAATATATATGTGAGTTATTATATATGTGATATAAATATTATGGAGAGATGTAAATGGATTTTAACACAAATCCTGTTTTAGGGTATTTAAAGTACAGTAGTACCTCCCTAGATGACGACCCTGCTAAACAATGAATCTGCATAACAATGACTTTTTGCGATCGCTATAGCGATTCGCAAAACAGTCATTCAAATGGGCAATTTTCGCTTGACGACAATTTGGTCAGTGCTTCGCGAACCGTTTGTTCTCATGACAACCATTTTTACAGCTGATCGGCGGCTCCGCAAAATGGCTACCCTGTGTTTTCCAGACCCATGCTTCACTTGACAGCCATTTTTACAGATGATTGACGCTTCGCAAAATGGCTGCCCTGCGGGCGATCTTCGCAAAACGACAAGGTATTTTCCCCACTGGAACGCATTAAACAGGTTTCAATGCATTCCAATGGGGAAATAGTTTTTGCATGACGATGATTTAGCGAAACAGCAATTTCTATTGGACGGATTATCATTGTCATGCGGGGCACCACTGTATCCTTTTATCTCTGTTTTAGCAATATCATTGTCATGCGGGGCACCACTGTATCCTGTTAGTATTTCTGTTTTAGCAATCGTAATAGACCAGCAAGCATTCAGAACTGTTTTTACAAAAACTGAAAGCAAGGCTCTCATCAACAGTTTGTTGGAAAATCATCCAGAGTGTGTTGGAAAGAGGTAGATGCAGGTCAATAGTCTCCTTCTACCACAGAAAGTTGGGTATTCACTGGTGAAAAAGGATGTGGTCAGAGGCCGCTAATTAGAATAACAAAAAAGGTTGTCAATAGTTATAATAATTCCAAGGCAAGCTAATTTGACATTGTGAAACCGAGTAGGTAATTAAAGTCCAAGGCAATGACCTTTAAACTGAATATCTTGTATCACCATTAGATTTTTATAGATGCGAATGAATAGCTCTTTTCTTTGGCTTTTACTGTATTCTGGAACATTGAAGACAGTCTACAGTTACTATCATTAGAGAATAAAAGGCATGAAGACATGTGGGAGTGATCAGATGGCTGCAAAGGTGTGTGTCTCTCATCTCACTAGAGTTTTCTGGCTACTCATAAGGGGGGGCCTTCTATGAAAGAGAAATATCTTATTTTCAGAATTCAGTACAAATATACTGCCCAATCAAATACAATTTTCTACCAGAGCCCTTACTTAATCCAGAATATAACAATTGCAATTTAAGCCTTACTTTTCTTGGTTTTACAAATAAATCCCCAATGTAGATTGCAGGATCCACTGGACCATTCTCCTTTATAACCATTCATGGAAGTGCAGTGGTCTTGAAATCCAAAACCACTGTCCTGGTAATAAGATCTTTCAACAGGAATTCCAGCTTGTCCATCTTTCCAGTTGATATAATCTACTTCCGAGTTGTCTTCCCACTTCCATTCTCCTAATTATAAAAATAAACACAAAGCATCCCGAGTAAAACAGAAAAGGGAAGCACGTTAGTTGTAATATGATGTGGAAATTACAATAAGTGCACATTTCCCCATGCATCATGTGATCACCAGGGAAAGGATCACACTGGACCACTCCACAACAAGTCCACACCCTTTGTTGACTGCTGTGAAGTACATGCTAAGAGAAACTGATCTAGGAGTTTTTTCCCCCTGGGTCAATTAATTACCTTGATAGATACTTTCAGAAATTTTACATGGTTCTGTTTCCCCATTCAGATCTAAAACTACCTCTTTCCTTGTTAAATAAAGGGAAGGGGGGAGACCCTCCTTTTCCAGGTGACAGTATGATAAGGTTGGTGCATACATCACCACAAGCACATGAGTGTCAATACTAAGAGGTGTGGGGGACTTCTTGAAAATGGGTGGACTTTCTTCTGAATGGGCTTGTGAAAAATTCCATGGTGAAGAAAATTCACCAGTCTTTTCTGTTGAGTTCTTTCACTTTGGAAAAAGATGGAACATGGATTATATTTTATCATACAAGAGTACAGATAAATATTGAAATGTATATAATTACCATCCACATTTCTGAACAAGCCTATCCAGAAGTCCATGGCATTAAGTTGCTGAGTGTGTTCCAGCAGAAATTTCAGTTCAGCTACATCTTCTATTGAAGTCAACGTGCCACCTAAAAACACCAGGGGAGTCAAAGAAGCTAATTAAATTTAACACCTTCTTTTAAAAAATGCAATAGCCCAATCCAGCATCAGCAAAAGATACACCATTCAGCCTTTCAAATATGCTTATGTCCTAAAAAACAACTACGAAATAACAAAAAATATAATAAAATTGTAAAGAATTCTTCCAAACTCTAATTCACAAGTAATGGAAAGACAATAAATTATGTAAGAAAAAGTCCACATAATGTATTTTCTCCTAATATATGGGATATAGATTTCATATAGAGAACTGTAGCAAAGAAAGAAGATGTGGTAGCAATAAAATTAATATGAAATGGAGGAGATGGCAGGATGATAAGAAAATTGATTGGAGACAATCAAGTTCCTTTCTATACTATCTTCATAATAAACCTAAGCACTACATCACACTGCTTTACATACTGACTAGGAACCCAGTAACATCAAAAATTATTGGGGTTGTGATCTCATTCAAAATAGCACCCACCTAACTGAGCACATTTCATAGATGCTGCAGGCCAACTCACTTTGACCGTATAGATTGTATAGCAATAAGCTCGAAATGGAATCCAAGATCTTAGTGTTTCTTTTGAAGTGGGGCATCTTCCTGGGACCTCTGGAGTTTCTGTTGGGATTTCACCTATAATGAAACAGATAATTTTGTATTTTAAAAAGTAGCAGCTTCCTCTTTAAGAACCTTGTGTAACACCACAATTTTGTAGTGAATATAGTTTCCATATTCAGAATAACCCAAAGTCATAATTCAGTCTATTTTGAATAATTCAGAATACAGTCTTGCCCCACTTTACGATTGCCCCGCCTTACAACAAAACCGCATTACAATCTTTTTGTGATCACAATTGCACAAAACAATGGTCTGAATAGGGGGTTTTTGCTTTGCGATGATTGGTTCCCTGCTTCGGTAACCGATTCTTCACAAAATGATGATTTTCGGAAAGCTGATCGGCGGTTTCAAAATGGCCACCGGGTAAATAAAATGGCTCCCTGCTGTTTTCTGGGACTGATTCCTTGCTGCACAAGCACTCTTCGCTGGATGGTGAGTTTCCAGCCCATTGGAATGTATTGAAGGGGTTTCAATGCATTTCAATGGGCTTTTTATTTTCGCATTATGACGTTTTCGTTCTACAGCGATTTCGCTGGAATGAATTAATGTCGTAATGCGAGGCACCACTGTAAAGCGCTTTATCCCACCCCAGACTCCTTTTGATCAAGTCTATACCAGTTTAAGGATATAAAAGTAGAGTTCTTTTAGCATAAAGGAAGCCATATGTATAATAATTTTGTTAAATACTCTGCAAGAGTATCAGCCTCATACAACTCAATGAGACTTACTTCTGATTAGATGTACAGTGCTCATGCTGAAAGTGCTGCTGCTTTTCCCAACTGAAATGTCCTCTGACTCCAGAGGCATGAACACAAGCACTCAGTCAAAGGTGCCTTGAAACCTGCAGCCAAGAATGTTCCTAGAAATTTGTTCAAGCAAATCTTATTGCTCCTTACGGTGGCAACCTATAGTTTAGGCTGGTCCACAAATGGACCTAGTTTTGCTCACTTGTTTCTTGGTACTTCTGAAAAGAAAAGAGTGGCCCACTCCAGAATTACTGGCTAACGACAAGGCCAGTGGAGGTAATGGCATTCCCGTCAAACTATTTAAAATCTTAAAAGATGATTCTATTAAGATGTTACATTCAATATGAGAAACCTGTTGCCTATACAGTGAGAGATAATTCCCCACTGTGTTCCACCAAATTTGCGCATCAGTAAATAATATTTTAAACATTTTTGTTTATTCTTAAAATGTAGCAACCCCATTTCATACGTAAGAGCTTTTACCCCCCCCCAAAATAACCACACTAGCAATCCAATTACAAAATAAGATTTTGTGATCTAAATTTTTCAGAAAACAAGTCAACTAGTTTTTTAAAAGGAATTGAAATGCACAAAGTTATATTTTGATAATGTATCAGAAAAACTCCACCAAACCATAAGGTTAGTAGTAATCAGTTAAATTTCCGAGAAGGGACCTATTCCAAAACCAGAGTGCCACCACAGTGATGCTCATCCTTTTTTTGTAAGTTCAGAGTATCATTTCTCCCCATTCATGGCACCCAGAGAAGTAACAATTTAAATGTGGGCAGGATGATATGGAATTCCACTCTTTGGAGATTTGCCACACATTCTTCCACTAAAACTAGCTGGACCTACAACTGCTTACCTGAGGCTAGATTTCATATTTTAATAAAGCCAGAGTTGTGTTCATGTTTGCCCTTTTTTAAATAACATGACACCAATACAGTTTTTTTAATTCATTCATTATGAAAGAGGGAAACATTCAAAGACCACTGTGCCACTTTGCCACTATGAGTGGCAAAATTCAAGTAGATTCCATAAGGGAATTAAAAAAATAATGGCATACATTGAAAATTATACTCCCGTACCGTGATACTGCTCACAAATAGAGAAGTGTGTTTCACTGCAGTTTCCTGTTTTCCAGTGACCATCGCGGTCTAAGTAGACACAGGCGATTTTCTCCCTTGGCTCTTCAGCAGCCCAGTTAGTATACACCAGCCTCCAGTTACTTATCCACTTGTATACTTCACCAGTCTAAAAGAGAAGCATTGGTTTCAGGAAAATGAAGAACTAAAAGAACATACCGATTGCCCTTGTCTGCTTTTGCTTCTTTTTCATCTAATCCCTCTGCTTTGTTCCTTTATATCCGAAGAGAATTGTTAACAATCGCCGAGGTAGGATGCTAAATTTTGCTAGATGCTCAGTTCTCCACTGTGTATTACTGTAGACCATCAAGTCCAGCATTCCTTGACATAGGCTGGACTTGATGATCTATAGGGTCAATTCCAGCTCCACAGTTCCATCATCATCATCATCATCATCATCATCATCATCATCATCATCATCATCATCATCATCAGGTGGTGGTGGCGGCGGCAGCTCCTGTTGCTGCTGCTGATGATAATGATGATGATGATGG